ATATTATATACAAATATTATATATATATATATATATATATATATATATATTAAAAATACAATACTTTATATATGCATAATGTAATACGCAGACAAGAATTAATAAATATTATTTTTTGTTACTTAATTGAAAAACAATACAAAAACATACCTTGTAATTAGGTATTTATTGTGATTATCAAGATATATTTTGAATATTGTAAAATGGCTGCAAAATATTGAGATTTACTTAGCTGTATCTCCCAACCTTAATTGTCACATTAGCAATAAAATCTGTGCATGTTAGATGCCACAACACGTGTTAATTGAATCCAGACACCAAGAAAAAAAATCCTCCAGATGAGGTATTACAGCTGACATAAAATGCTACCAAAGCATAAAACGCATTGAGTTTGTTACCTTCGGTAATAACATCTATTGTGCAAATTGAGACTTAATCACAGTTTTGCAGTGATGTAATATCGTTTATTTTTATTACATGCTCAAATGAGGCTTTCATTATTCCAGATGGGCTCTCGCACTTAGAGTAATCTGCCGTCTCTGCACATTTCTAGTCAGAGACGCATTTCGCTATAGCTTTGTACTTTAGTAGTAATGATGTACGAATGGTGTGGCCCTCTGTCCCAGCATGATGTATTGTAGCCAAGAGATGACCTTTGTGGCGGGTGGCTGTCGCTCTTCGGTGTGGGTTTTTTTGCAGGCCCACTAACAGGCACTGATGCGCTGCCCTTTGTCTGCCTGACTGTGTCTGACAGGCATGCTGGAACCACGGGAGTGATGGTACAGTTAATGTAGAGCATTACAGTCATACAGTTAAGGACCAGGAATATCTCAAGCCAGAGTGGATGGTTGTGCATGTGCACCTGTAAAACTAAGTACTTTAAAATGTATTTATAAAAAAGCAAGGAATATTTTAACAAATTTTGAAATAAAATATATATTTCAGTATCTTAATATTTTATGTGTGTGTGTGTGTATATTTTAAGTAGGTTTTTGTACTTTTACAGTTTATTAATAACGTATTCCCTGATATTTATATTGTATTATATACTAAATTTTTGTGTTTTTTTATTTATAAATTATTAATAAAATTTTTACACAACAGAAGTCTATTGATTTATTTAATTTCAATTTGTGTTTTTTATTTATGTTTCACTAATGTCAGTGTATATGTGTATGACAATATTTTACATTTCGATAATTACAAATAATTTCAGTAGTTGCATTACAATAACTAATTTACAAATATATGATTAATAGCATATTCCCTGATTTTTTATATATATATATATATATGTATTTTATATGGTTTGTTTATATTATCATTATTCAGTAATGTCAGTGTGTGTGTGTGTGTGTGTGTATATGTATCACTTTTTTTCTTTCACTTAGATGATAGAGTCCATAGGTGTGTAGTATAGTTTATCTGCATGGTTAGTCACTTCAATTGGTTCATTAAGAATTACGCTGGATTATTTGCGAAATCATCTGCATTATTGGTGGAATTAGGATGATTATTTAGAGGGTTAGCCGGGTTTGAAGGAGGATTAGCGGGTCCACTCTCTGATTCTGGTTCTCCAGATGGGACCATTGTACCGCGCCAGGCATCAATAATGCACAGGGAGCGGGGCGAAAGAGTCTGTGACATTCTGTCTTCAATAATTCACCAGTCAGTGGGGGGACGTATGGGCTCGCCTGTTTCTTTTTCCAAACATCACCCCGTCGTGTTTTTTTTTGAGAGGGCGCGATGAAGGGGGTGGAGGTGTCGGATGGTGGTCTGTTTATAAAGATGTCACACACCTCCCCTTTGGCCTATTCTTCATCTTGTAATCCTGTTTGAGAGTGTGATGTGCTTGTATGTGTTACAAGACGCCCCATGTAAGTGTGTGAGTTGGAATTGAGACGATTGGGAGTTTTTGGGCCGATAATTTAACTTTTTGAAGTTTTAACCCATTCTAGCTTGATAAATAGATAGTTAATTAAAACCAATTCCTAAAATAATCTGAGAATAAGATGAATTTTGGACCATACCTTTTGTTGTTTAGTGGAACATACATCATCAATTAAGTTCTTAATGGGATTCGGTATTTATTCTGAAAGTATTGGAATTCAAAAGCAGTGAAATGTGCATATCTAGCTTTAATACATCCCAATGGCTCCTGTTTGAGTGTGTATAAATGTGTTGGTAATGAGATTTATAGGATTGAGATGGTAATTAGATGTTGAGTCAGCTCTCACATTGCATTTCCTGCCTGATAAGCAATGCATGAACACCGACATCAGTGGATTGTCTCTCTTTTCTCAGTTATCTCTGTTTCTCACCATTCTCTCTCTGTCTTTCACTGTCTGCATCACTCGCTCGCTCTGCGCCGACATAGATATGAAAGATCTGACTGAGCTGCCATGGCCTCCTCCGGTCGGACAGCTGGAGGAGGAGCCCATCTGTGGCGAGCAAGGTGAACTTTAACCCCTTCTCCCCACTGCTGCCCCTCCAGTGTCCTGCATCTGTCCAGCTCGCTGATTCACTATTTTGCTAGAAACCTCCCGTTTACTTCCCATATGATTTAAATCACTTCCACTCAGTGCTGCTCTCATCACAGTAGCATGTGATGACTGCATGAGGTCAGTTCTGTCTTCCAGTTATGTTTTCACTAGGGATGACACCATATTACAATTCGAGCTGATATCAGTGTTGTTATTGTTAACTAAAACTATGAAAAATTGTTTTCATTGTCAGCGCCGATAGCCTTGTGGTTAGTGCGCCGACATGAGTTCCTGAGTTCGATTCCCGTCTCGAGGTCCTTTGCCGATCCCGCTCCCCTCTCTCCACCCAATGCTTTACTGTCAGCTCTCCACCTGTCTCTTTAAAAAAAGGCATAAAAAGTCCATAAATATAACTTTAAAAAAATATTTCCGTTAACTGAAATAAAACTGAAGCAAACTGATATAAATTTTAGATTAAAATTTTTAACTTAAACGAAAATTAAAACAGAAGTTTAAGCTGTAACAATATTACTAAAACTAAAATGAAATAAATAATTAAGCTTAAAGGTCATATGATGCGATTTCAATTTTTCCTTTCTCTTTGGAGTGTTACAAGCTCTTGGTGCATAAAGAAGATCTGTAAAGTTTCAAAGACTAAAGTCTCAAATCCAAAGAGATATTCTTTATAAAAGTTAAGAGTCAACCACGCCTACCTAAAACGGCTCGTTCTAACACACCCCCACATACCTACGTCACGATCTGGGAAAATTTGCATAACGCCGCCCAAATGTTCAAGCAAAGAAAGAAGGCGTAACTTTTATCCTCGCTGTGCGTTTCAGAAAGGCGGGGCACAGAGGAGATACAATAATTTACAGTATGTGGAAAATAATGTGTTTTTTGAACCTTAAACCACATAAACACATTTCATTACACCAAATACACAAAATAATGTTCTTTTTAGCAATGTCATATGACCCCTTTAATAGAAATATTTAAAAAAAATACAAAAACTAATAAAAAATGACAAAAGCAATAAAAATGACTAAAACGTATGCTAAAATTGAAATAAAGTCTGAAAATAAAAAAATAAAAGCTAATTCGAAATATCAATAAATATCATAACATATATAAATGACACTAAAATAACACTAGCCGATACAGATATGGCGATAATTAATTCCATTTTGTGATTGATCACCAATAAATGGCGGATATTGTAATTATAAAAGACTAAAAACTAAACTCAATCATTTTAAATGCAAATTTACAAGTGAATTTAGCCATCGCAACTTTATAATGTACAGTATGAAAAAAATTAGAACAGTATTTTTTTAGATTAACTTCAAATGACCGTTAGATGACAGCAAAAATAATCTTTAGGGATGCATGATATTGGATTTTGCCGATATTTTTCAACTCATTTTGGCCAATATCCAATGCCGATACTGATATATTTCCTTTGGTTTGGAAACAACACCTAGTCTCTCCTGTGCAGAGATTATAAACAAATTATTTTTAATTTTGGTTAGTTTTGTTAGAACTGAATAAACAATAATAGTTCTTTTTATAATGAGCGTACATTTGAAACATTTGAAAATAACTATAAAAAAATCACTAGCAAACTAAATCTAAAGCAAACAAGCTGTTAAAAAAAAAAACTTTTAGAGCTCCTTGTATGTTTTCATAATCCGTTTAAAAAATATATTACACATTAATGAATAAATCTTTATATACTGTATAAAATTATTTAATTTACAAGTCTCATGTTTGTGATTTTGTATTCATGCAAGCAATAACTTCTGACCTTTAAATCAAAGAAGACTCGTGATTTTATGACATAAATTACAGCTTTATATATTCAGAAACTCAATGTTAATGTTATTTGTGTATTTTACTTTTATTTTTATTACAAGTTGGCCTACAGCTCCCCCTAAATAAATAAAAGGCCTTAATGAACGGGCATTAGGACCCAGGGGAGGCTGCTGCTGCTGAAAGTGCTAGTAACGGTTTACTCTATTGTACAACTGACAGGTCATTCTGTACTTGCATTCTCAGATTAAATGCGGTGAATCAAAATGAAGTGAATCTAATCATCATTCAGGCAAAAGTTTGCTTTAAGAATGACCATACTGCTGATGTGATCTTATCGCTAGCACACTTTGAGCACATGTTATTCGTCTTACCGGCAAGGCATATCAGCATAATTTTTCATATCGATTCCGATAACGTTCTAATAATATAGTGCATCCCTGCTAAATGTAAAAACACAAGAAATGAGTATGTAGAATTAAATATCCACCCTACCGATAAATAAAAAAATACTGGCAGATAACCAATTAGGTACAGATAAATTGTGCATCCCTAGTGTCCACACTTGACAGCACAGTTTAATTAGGTGTGGCAACGATAATGTAAAAATGTGAGAAATGAGCATGCAGAAATAAATACCTATCTACCGATAAATCTACCAATACATTTAAAAATATCAGTTGATAACTGATAAGGTGCTGAAAACTTATGCATCCCTAGTTTTCACACTCGGTTTGATACTTGAGTTTGATTTCACCCCTCCTCTGGATCAGGTTTTTCACATTATGTTATTTGGCTCTGAACCCTAGTACGTTTGTGTTATAAATGTGCCACCTTAATTTCCTACAACCCTCCTGTTTTGTTACTCTTTGCTGTTCTGGTTTAGACTCCTCCTGCTGTGTTAACTGTCCTAACCAGGCATGATGTGACAAACATATCTGGTGTTTAATATCAGATTTATGAAACAGGATTTTCGACCGATGACATTTCACAATAGGTGGCTCAACCCCGTGCAACAAGATAGAAACCAATTGTCCGCTTTATTCACATTATGCCACAAACTATTCATCATGTGAACCCTAAATCTGAGATGATCATGATCGAGTTTTATTGTTTTGTCATGTCATTCCTAGTTATTACACAATGTTATAAAACCTAAAAAAAAAAATTTCAAACAACTTTTTCAGTCACTTTTCTACTGCTGTTTGACATTGAATTAAGTCTTTTTCTCTCTCACTGTGCCCATGCAGTGCAGTTTGAGGGTGCTGAGTGGGACCGTTCCTGTTCTCCCACAGAGCGTCTGAGGTGTTCCAGGCCTCTGCCAACCACAGGCAGTATGAAGCTACGCAAGCCCAACGATCCTCATTCCATGATCGGAGAGAGAGTGGATCCCACCCTGCCCCTGGAGAAACAAGTGTACGTCCAACACGCACCACAAACCATTAGAGGTTTGAAGAAAAAATTGAGAGGAACAGAGACTACTAAGCTAAAAATACCGCAATTAGAATGCTATCCCATAATGCATCTTGTGGCCTCAACATTGAAATTCTGTCATCAGTTACTCACCCTCATGTTGTGCCAAATCTGAGTGTACTTTCTTTTTGTGGAACGCAAAAGAAGATATTTTGAAGAATGTTGCAACTGTACAGTTAAAGTCATTGGGGTCCAAAACATCAAGATATTTTTTTTCTTTTGTGTTTCACAGACAAAAGAAAAAGTCATACAGGTTTGGAACGACATGAGGGGGAGTTAATGGTGACAGAAATTACATTTTTGAAAATTTCAAGGCACTTGATGCTCTCATTGCGACGTCTCGTACCTTTGGGAACGCCAACCTAGTGTGTTATTATTTTAGTGCTATGAGAATATGATTTATGGGGGCGGTGTGCATGGTTAAGCCATTAGAAAGCGCAGTCAAGTGCGTCCAAAATATTGCTGCAAATTAGTCAGCTGTTCAGGAAACAAAATTCCCCAGACACATCAGACGGCAGCTGGGGTCTCACAGGGGAACATGCCACGACAGTCACAAACACACGTTCACTTACAAAATATTTACAGGTGTCATATTCAACACATTTGAAGTATGATTTGGTATGATTAAACGGTTGATTTAGTTTTTTAGGAACATTTTCTATCCTCTTTGATCCTTAGAATTAAATTAGCTCTATTTGTTACTGTACCTTTAACACTTATGGGTTAATGACTTTTGTTATGATTTGCTGACCTCTTTCTTTGCATGCATGCTGTCTTTCAGATGGTATCACGGTGCTCTCTCGCGCTCAGAGGCCGAGTCTCTGCTGACCCTCTGTAAGGAGTGCAGTTATTTGGTACGAAACAGCGAGACCAGTCGCTTGGACTACTCTCTCTCTCTGAGGTACAGCACTGCACCTCTTCCACCATCCACCGTAGCAACATTTTATTTCTCCATTCCCTCCATTACCATTAAATGAAGTGAGCAAATCTCATCCCCATTACCCCATTTCAGCTAATTGCCTTGTGTTTTGCTTCATTTGTGTCTAGTTGTCTGTATCTTAGTTGTCTTTGTTCTTCATTCTGACCTACAATTTTTTTCCACCCCTCAGTAGAGTTAATCTTTTCAAAGAAAAGAAAATATTGCTTAATATAATATAATATAATATAATAATAATACAATATAATGTAATATGTTTTTAATTATATTGTGCATTTTATATGTATGCATATCTTACATCTATTTCCTTTATTTTATATAATAAATATAATAACATTTTATATAATAATATAATATAATGTTTTATTATATTAATTGTAATTAAATGTAATTACATTGTGCATTTTAGATAGATTTTAGATAGATTTATATCTTACATTTATATCCTTTTCTATTTTAACAATTATTTTATTATATATATTTAATTTTGTGTATTTTATAGATGTATATCCTACATTAAGTTACTCAATTTTTATATAATACAATATAATATAATAAAATAAAATGTGTTCATATTATAAATGTTAAACGGTATTAATAATTATCTATTTGATCTCACTGTTTGATCTCATATTTCAACATATTTGCTGTACTATTGTTTTACTGTTATCATACTGAATATTTTCTCATTATTGTGTTTTTTATTAAATTTTCTTTCTTGCCTCCTTGGACAAAACGGCCCTGTCTCATTTGCACACTGATGTGCTTTTCGATAGGTTATCAGCTCGAGCGATTGTGCTTATCTGGTCAAATCTCACAGTTCTAATTACCGTCTTGATCCAGAACCCCTGATCCCGCTCCCCTTTCTTCTTTTTCTTTTATTCTTCCCGAGCAGTAATCAGGCAGGTGAACAGCTCTTCAGTTCACAAAGCTTCTCCTGGCGGCGTTAATTAATATGAATGACCTGCAGAAAGCCGCAGGCACAAGCGGGAGGCCTTTCGCACACCTGAACGCACTCAGTAATCACACACGCCTAGTATTGCAAGCACACTTTATAAGTCACAGGCAAGAACACTCCAGAACATGTTCAGCAACATGCTGAGACTTTGTTCACATGAATCAGATTTTTACAAGCTTGATTCAAAACGCATTCGTACGACAAACGAATGAATGAACGGCGCTGTCTGATGTGATATGGTGGGCCGTCTACAGCCTCAGAGGCCTGATCCAAATCAAAGTGACAGCGGCTCAACGTGGAGAGCTTTGAACGAGCTGCCATTGAGATTCACAGGCTTTATTTTGAGCCCAGATTTTTCTATAAGTGACTCCGTTCGTCACCTGGCAGATAATACCTTGTTAGAGACGACGAACACGTTGAGTCTCGAATTTTAACGCACTGCTTGATTTTGAAAGGGGCGAGAGAGATGTTCTCAGCCTCCATGGGTTTTCATTCACACTTATTAAGGTGAATGGTATATAGTACAGTATGACAGCTTCAAACTAACAAATGACTTCCTGTTTCTATACATAGAAATCCAGCCTTTTGGGCTGAGCCGTCTTAAAGGGGAGGTCGAGAATAATATTCACACCAGACTGTGCTGAAGTTATGATATTCTTTTACACCATCACTCAGATTGTCCTATATATCGCCGGTAATCTTTTGTTCACCGCTGACCCAAATACCAGATTCACAACCCCACCTAGGGATCAGGTTATATTAAAGCTGTCGAGTCATGATAAAATGATCGGAATTTATCTGTGGTTAGATTGCTGCCATCTCTATTGCAGATCTATATTTCAAAAAAAAAAAGTACTATGATTCAAAGGCACCGTTTGATTACCATATTTATATACAATGGTCCTGTAAAGTACACTGTAAAAAATAAATCAGTTAAATAACCGGGAAAAAGTTCTGGCAGCTCACGGACATTTCTGTTAACTCTAAAACACAATTCAATGAAGTGTGAAATTCAAAATACAACTGTAAAACATAATTATGGAAAAATTCCTTCAAATTATACAGTATATTGTGCCCTATTTTTACAGATTTTCTTTTAGTGTGTACTTAAAAAACAAAACAAAACAAAAAAACAATATTGGCATGGTATCAAAGTAGATCAGAGCAAAGTATTTATATTGAATTTATTTGGGGGGAAATACTTTTTTGGGGTTTATTATTTATTTCATTGAACAAAGTATTTTTTAATTTTCATGTCATTATATTTTGTGGAAAGTATTTATTTGATTATCCAGGCTCATTGTTTTAGCATTTCATAGAACAGAGCAAAGTATTTTTATTATTATTATTATTATTTACTTTATTTTATTTTGGGTAAACATTTGTTTGATTTTCAGCCATATTTAATTTGTGCATTTTATAAAACAGGTTAAAGTATTTTTCGTTTAGTTTTGTGTTTTGTGCTTGTTTTTTTGTTTTGTTTCGTTTTTGTAAAATACTTTTTAAAATACCACAGTACTGGCATGGTATTGCAGCATCAAAAAAAAAAAAACTTGTATTACCATGATTTATTTGGTAAGGTAATACCTTGGTTTTTTAAATAGAAGTATTTTTTATTTTATTGTGGGAAATCATTTTTCCAGGTTTATCATTTATTTCATAGAACAAAGTTTTATTTTTTTTAAGCAATTTTCTTCAGGTTTACAGAGTACAGTTATGCTCACTATTAACTAGCTGCTTATTAGCATGCCTATTATTAACATATTGGCTGTTTATTAGTACTTATAAAACACATATTCTGCATAAACATATTCTACATCCCTAATCCTACCTAAACTTCACTAACTAATAAACTTAACTACCTTACTAACTATTAATAAGCAGCAAATTAGGAGTTTATTGAGGCAAAAAGTCATAGTTAAGGTTTGTTAATGGTGAGAATTGGACCTTAAGATAAAGTGTGACCACAGTTATTTTTTTTATTGTATTTTGGGGAAAGCATTTATTTGGTTTTCAGGCATAATTAATTTGTGAGTTTTACAGAAGTGATTAAAATCTGTTTTGTTTTTTGGAAAGCATTTTCCAGCTTATGTTGTTGCCCAACATGCCTGAAGATTAATGGCAGTGTTGCATATTCTTTTTCAGGAGCTGCCAGGGATTCATGCACATGAAGTTCAGCCAGTCCAAAGACGGCCGCTATATCCTGGGCCAGAACAGCCCTCCATTCGACACCATCCCTGAAGTGATCCACTATTACACCACACACAAACTCCCCATCAAAGGAGCCGAACACTTGTCCTTGCTCTTCCCTGTGCTGGTTCAGACTCTCTGATTGGTCAGAGCACTGCAGTCCTCATTGCTATGGGCGGATACATACAGCCAAGGGATAT